TTTACTTGCATTTTTTATTACGAGCTTTCTCAGCCTGAGAGACAGACACCCTGCAGTTAATGTTCTATCTGCAAAGATATTTTATTTTGAAATGCCCTGAAAGCATTTAATTGTTTCACTGGAAAAAGTGGTCACACTGCACATTCATTTGGTCTATAAAACCTCATCATTATGGGTCAGAGGCTCCTCGTGGCTGCAGATGGACAAACATTAAAATGCAGAAATCAGCAAGCGGACATCAAATCTGTCTCAGACCGAAATGAGGGCAAAGTAATTTGAATGCACAAACGATTCATTTCAGGGAATAGTTCAGTGTTAGGAGAGCAGATGACTCATTTATTAAAAACGTTTATACTGAGGCAGCTTCATATTAAACCCTTCTATCTGAGAATGAGACATGAGGCCGTCGGACTGTTAAGTGCTACCCTGACATTACCATCTACCATCGATGTGCTGTTATGAAACCATCAGCAGAGGAACTGCTGTACTTACACAATACCTTGCTCATTTCAGCATGTATTAAACTCAGGCAGTAAACCACGCATGAAAGGATGCAATACTCTTCCTCCTCTTCTTCTTGCAGCAACAACAACTACAGCGGCAGCCACATTCTACTTCCATGCCTGTCATAACATCCTGCCGTCTCCTTGGACGGCGCTCAGGAGGAGGTAGGAGGTCACGGAGGCTCGCACATTATGGTGGCACATCTGCGCGTGGAGAGGGAAACATGCTGTCTTCAGCATGCGGCCTGGGAAAAAGCCAAAGCTGCGCCTGCAGCACTGTGAGATGTCAGAACAGTTTATGAGAAATCCAGGAAGCAAGCCTCTGCCCGGATCTCGAAAGAGGCGAGGAGGGTGCCGACGCGTTAGACCTGGACCGTTCGAGCTTGGCGTGTCCAATTTAAACTTCTAATTAAATCACCCACCTGAAACCTGTTTGATGATGAGAAACTTTTGCCTTGAGATGGTTACAGTTTCCCATGAATGTGAAGTCACAAATCAAAAACTGGAAAATGATGATTTTGTAGACATGTGAGAAAGAAAAGTGGGAGGGCACAGAGCTGCAGCACATCAGTGGAAGACAGCGGTTATATATCTGAAATGAATCTGGTTTTCTGTCCCGGGGTAACATTTAGATCAGCACTGTATGAAATATGAGCACAAAATGAATCTTTTGATGCATTTTCACTGACAAAACTTCACAAAGTTCATTCCTTTATTCTGACTCCACAGACAAAAACACGGCAGATTACTTTACTGTAAGATTTCTTCCTTCGATGACTCACAAACACACGTAGTGTACATTTATGCACACAAGTCCAAATTAATGAGATAAAACTCATTAGTGCACATGAGGATAACATTTTAGATAACCTGACATATATACAAAAGAAAAGCTTGAAGCTCACTCTCGTACTATGATCACATGGTTTATATTTTCTGTCATATGCTTTGGTATTAGAAACGTGTACTCTGGGTATTAACAGGCTGAGTTCACTGTGCAAGAATATCGCAATTAAAATATAAACCCAGCTGTTTGTCATGCTGCATGGCTAAAAAGTTGTTTTATCACCTTCGGAATTATATCAAAATGTATGACCTGTGTTAAGAAGAAAAGAAACAGCAGCTCAACACTTTTTAATATAATACATGTCTTAGTTATGATTTAATATTCCAATAATCAGTAATCAGATGTTTAAGGTTTCAGTGTGTGTGTGTTTTACACGCTGTAAGTGCACGTGTGCTACAAAGGAAGTGTGAAAGAATGAAGAGAGATTTTGTGTGTGTGTGCGTGTGTGTATATGTGTGTGTGAGAGAGAGAGTGAGTGGGAAGAGCGCTGAAACAGGAATAAAGCCGTGTACTGGTGGGACTTTAGCGAGCACTGCGCCATTCTACTCACTCCATCTATCAGCGACCTGCCCCAGCAACTCGGTGGATACATGCACGTGTGCACTTATGTCTTTGTGAGGACCCGTCGAGGACATTTTAGAGGTTTAGACATTTTTTGGTTTTGTGATGTTTCTGGGTAAGGAACACAAAATATACTTCTCACAAACATAGCTAGACGTGTGTGTGTGTGCTGAGCATGGAGTGTAGTTACACACTGCAGTGAACAGCGTCCTTGTTGCTGCTCGCTCTGTGTTTCGCCTCCTGAGGTTTAAAATGGATTTTCTGCTTTGATAAAAGCTGATAAATCCAATTATATCAGTACTTTGCTTTTTCCTATAATCCACCATTTGAGAGATTAGAGCACCAGCTCTGACTGTGGTCTGCAGTGCGTGGACTGACTCTATGGTCTGTTATATTTGGTTTCTATATCATCATCATCACTCATTCAGGTCTCTGTTTCTCATTGGATCTTCAACATGTTTTCATTTTCTCACAGAACTTTATCCGAGCACTGGAAACCACCGTAAATTGGTCTCGTTGGTCTATAGATGGTGTGTCCAGAGCGTGAAGCATTTCCATGTGTGGTCTACTTCTATGACATAACTCTGACTTTATATGTAAATATTAATTGTGCTTTTCAGCCCCTGTTATGACAGGGCAAGTGAGAGTGGATAAGAAAGGTGGGAGAGAGAGGAGGAGGGTGGATTCAAGCTCAGGCCTGTGCAGTAGGTCACCTGTTTAACCCAGTGAGCTTTACTGAAGCAAGTGAGGTGCGGGACATCAGCTGAACAGGTATTAAAAGTTTCTCTGTGTTCTTCTGCTCATCATTTTAATGAATAATACTGCCACAAAGTGTTCTTTTCTTCAGTTTTTCCATTGATTTTGCTTCTGTGAGAGAGAAAATCTGGATTTTTTTCCTGCATGTTGAGGATCTGTAGAAGCCACCAGTGTGTGTGCGTGTGTGTGTGTGTGTGCGTGTGTGTGTGTGTACTGTGGGATGTCTACCTTTGCTGCTCGGCTCTGCCTCAGTCTTTCTTTCCTCCTTCCTCCTTCCTTTCTACCATTTCTCTGCTCTTCTCTCCTTCCTCCATCCTTTCTTCTTCCAAACACATTATTCTTTTATCATTTCTATTCTCCCACGTGTTTCCCTCTTTTTTCCTGGTCTTATGTTTATTTTTAAAGTAATAATGTAATATGAGGCAAAGCACTGGGCACCTTCACATTACACCTACAGGAGCCCCTCAGCCACGAAGCTCCTGCCCCCCCTTTTGTCTGTGCTGATGGTAATGCCACAGGAGGTTTGGAGCTCTGCAGCGTCTTTGCACTACTAGCCTCAGCTGCGAGCCCGCTCTGAGCTGCTGTGGTTACTAAATGCTTCCACATACAGCTGATAGTGGAATATCTAACAGGACACACATTTCTTGTCTTGTCTTGTGCTCAGTGAACTCCTCTCACTGTGTCACAGATGTTGGTAGAGGCAGACTGCATGGCCAGGCACTTGATTTGAATTCATAGATGAAGTGGTGTAGCCCAGTACTTTTGTCCATATGGTGTATACTCATTGGTAATGATCCGTGTGTGGCTTTGTGAGAACCACTCTGCACACTCTGGTGTGGTTTGCTGTGAAACCAGGAAAATCCTGGGTTACTTCCTGTGGTTTGGGAGTGAGGTGATGTCATGAATGGTCAACGGATGCATCTCACTGGGATTCCTTGGTGCTGTCTCTTTGAGTTTTGCTGACACTGCGGTCTCACTTTGAATTAAAGCTAAATGCCAGAAACAATACAGTTTTTGTCTTTCACAACTTTCTGGACTCTCTCTATTACCCGAGCTCTTTCACTCGGATGAGATAAATGTCATATATTTTTTCAAAATGGGCTACGCAATTTCCCCTAGCAGCAGGACACTGTGTTTCTGTTTGGAACAGTAGTTAAACAGTGGGAAACGGCACGCTGTTGAACACTACTGTCAGTATTTCCTGCAGCAGCAGGAACGTGTACACCGTGTCAGACTGAGTCAACTTAATGGGCTCGCTGGCACACAGGTAAACTGAAAGACTTTGGATCTGACTCGCAGGAAAAATGCACTTTTGTTTTGGTGTTTTTACAACGTTTTCTTTGCTAACAGGATGGCAGAACATAAAACCTTCCTTTGACCTTCAACTTTTAGGGCCTTGAAAACCAGTTTTTCAAACAGTACTACCTGCCAGAGACAGGGAGCTGTGGGCTGTTTCACAGGAGTGTTTGTGTGTTTGTTAAATTCTAAAGCTGCTCGGGCAAAAGCAAACAGGGAGGAAAATAAGGACGTTTCTGGGGTGCTTGGTCACGCTGATCAAAACAGCCTTTTACTACTAGATGCAAAATTCCTCAAAGTAAAAAAACACAACACCACATTACACGTGTGCACGCTGAACGATGTTTAATCTGCGAATGTGCCCGAGGCCCTGCAGAAGGTTCACACAGCTGACAAGTTCAGAGCTCTCATTGGATGAAGAAGTGATTCATGTATGTTTTGAAGGTTAGCGGCACGAGCGTGCCTTGTTTTTACAAACACTTACAGAGGCAGCGAATGCTGAAATAGCCTCTGTTGTCACACACATACGAAGACACACAGAGGTTGGTTGGTGTCATATCGGCTCTGAGCCTTGTTGCTCTGTGAAGGTTGCTGGTTCAGTTATATTAGCACTAATGGGTTTTCTGTGTAATGATTGAGCGTAAATTTCCACTCCACTGCGTACAAACAGGCACGGGGCCGCTACGTTGTTATGCAAATGGTCGCGGCAGTGATGCGCTCTAACAAATGAAGTGTAGCAAATGGGAGACGGGGTCAATGAGGCAGAGAAATTTCGAAATGCTCACAGGGCAGAACGCTTTTAATTTTTAAAGGGAAATAAAAGTGAAACTTTTGGATGTGCTGAATATCGGTGAAGCTTTCGTTTAAATTAATTGAATTTTTCAGGGCGGAGTTACCCGAGCTGAAACACAGCCGCGACGAGACGTGATAGTTTCTATTAGTTGCCCGACCGTCCGAATCCACACAGACAAAAGTGACAAATAAATGATGTGAAAGTCTTTACACCGAGGTGTGATATGGAGAATAAATCAGCTCACCATTGTTGTTTCGGCGATGGACCCGAAGCTGTTGATGAAAATGTTGCAGGTTACGTTGACAGGCGGACCTGGAGAGAGGGAGCAGAGAGACACGAGAAGTTAGAGTTCATAATATTTATGCAGACAGAAGACGTGGAGACGTGTTTGTCATCACAGAACGTGGAAAACCTGCTCGTGAGAGTTGACTGCAGAGCTCAACATGGATTCAACACTGCATCAACACTGCAAGCAGCTTGAATTTGAGTCGGTATAGAAGCTGTAAAGAGTGAATGTGTGCATTGTGGGTAATAATTTCTGATGAGCCTTTAGATGTTGTTCCACTTCTAAAAGAGCTTTCATTGATTTTCACTGAGGACATGTTGAATTTCTGAGGAAATTAATTAAACTTAGGCATGAAAACATGATAAAAACCAAGCGAGGCTGACAGTGATCACTGACTTTTTTTATGGGGTTTGTTGAAATTAAACAGCACAAGATACAAATCATTAAAACATGTTAAAAACACCACAACCTTAAAAACACAGAGTAGTTTGGACCCGGAAGCAGTGTTCATATGTCATCACTTAATAACCGCATTGCTATCAGAGTCAGGGGTCAGCATGGACACCCTGATTGATCTGCAGCTCCATGCACAACAAACTGTGATGCTCTGTGTATCCTGACTCCTTTCTATCAGAACCAGCATGAACATTTCCTGCAGAGTGAACTACAGCAACCACTCTGTTGGATCGGACCACACGGACCAGCCTTCGTTTCCCAAGTGCATCATCAGTGAGCCCTGAGCCAAATACTCACGCTCACACATATTTCCAGCTTCCAACATCAACTCTGATGACCACTTGATATCTCCCGCCCACTAACAGGTGCCATGATGGAGAGGTAATCAGTGTTACTCAGGCCTGGTTGGTGTCTGCAGCCTCCTGCTTTACATTCTCCTCGCTGTTGATAATTGCTGCACTTTGTCGGGGTTAGTTTACAGCGTAAGATTCTTCTTGTGTTCTGAATCGATGTAAGCTGAGTGGATGTGTTTGCGTGTATCAGTCTGCGTGTTGCCGGATATTAAAGCAGCAGAGAAGATTAAAGCTGAAGCGAGTTGATGGCAGACTGCAGGAAGTAAACAAAGTGAAAGAAACCTTCTGCTGGGGGAAAGTTGGCTTCAAACACTGGCTGAATAAACAACTTGCTTTTCCAGACTTAAATGTTCTGACAGCGTCCTACTGCCTGACAACAGCAGGAAGTTTGTCCGAGAGCCGCTGAGACGAGGAAATGCGCAAACGTCTCATTACAACTCGAGAAAACTACAAACGAGAAAACCAATTACACATCCCCCCGAGCCTTGAAAAGCCCACTCGAGTGGTGTCAATAAACCCACAGTGTCCTTTCAAAGGGAATCATAACAACCAAGACAGTCTGCCCTCTCTCCTCTCAGAGACGAGACGCCGCGTTCAAGGTTGATGAGTTAGTCGAGGTGAGAGTCAGCAGCCCCGTGCACGGCTCCACGATTCTTTGTCTCACTGGATTCTACAAACACAAATGCAGTAAGAAGCACGGACACTGACCCAGCAGTTCAGCTCTCCTCTGTTCCAATCACACTGAACCAACCCCAGCTTCCTCTAAAGCACAGGTGTCAAACTCCAGACCTCGAGGGCAGGTGTCCTGCAGGTTTCAGATGTGTCCTTGATCCAACACAGCTGATTTAAATGGCTAAATGGCTTCAGAGTTCGTGTTTTTTCTCTTTTCTCTTTCCTTTCACTCATTATAATCTGGCTGAACTCTGAAAACCAAGTCAAGATGCATCAATGAATGTAGAATAAAAAGTCAGTTTTCAAATTATGAAACTAACGTTTAATATGCTAAAGGCTGACACTATAATAAAGCCTTAGTCAGTCAGTCAGATTATTGCATGAGCGATGAAAGAGCAGGTGGCGTGATAATGGCTGGTGCAAGGAATAAAACTAAATACTGAAACACAGATTCAACAAAACACCACAGAAATACCTAAATAAGACATTTATTAAAAACATTAGATGTGAGGATTAATAAGACGAAAGGTTTTGTGTCCAGTTTCAGCTTGAACCTGCAGGTCTGTGATTCTTCAGGCCGCCTCTAATAATTTGGCCTCATTGAAACAGTTTTGGGGAACCTTCTTTGTTAAACGGCTGATTGAACTAAAGTCTTCACATACACATCTCCACTGCAGACACCTGGTTTTAAAAAAATCACTCCTTTGAGCGTTCTCCCCTCTGACCTTCCTTATAAACATTTTTAGCACATCACGCTCGCTGGTGTACTACACCAATAAAAATCCTCCCAGTAGAACCAATCACAGAGGCCTCGTCAGCTCTGATATCATGCTTTATCACAGTATCAGCTCAGTCTGCATGTTTCCATTCATCAGGCTCAAAGAACTTCACAGCTCCAGTAGGAGCAGGATGATCCTCAAATGAAGCATTTTCCTTGTATTGGATTTAAGTCTGGAGACACAGTATGATCAGTTCTTTGTCTGTGAGATAATTACACTAATAACTGCCTACATATTTCAAACGCATTTTTGTAAACAGATTACTGTAATCCGATTATTTTTAATCCATTTCCCATTAGAGATCTTAGAAAAAAATTTATTTGATTTTTAATGAGTCAAAGGTCTCTCTCACACACACACGGTCTGCCTTTAATGTCCCTGGTTAAACTCGATGTCTAATTCTAACTGCTGGCGGCTAGCTGGAAATGAAGGAAGGGGTCTGGATTATTTTGAAGGCCAATTACGCTCTCTGTCACAGTGTGAGGAGTGCCGGAGGCATACGCACAGACAGATGCGGTTAAGGCACCGGGTTGACGACGTATGGTTAAAAGGTAAAAGATCATCAGAGCCTGGCACAGGCGATGGATGGTCATGTGACATGTACAGCATCATATTTACGCAAACGACAGATTAGTGACGCGGCCGTGTGAGGAAACGAGGGCGAAGCAGAAAGAGCGACTGAGAAACGGAGATATTAAATGAACCTAGTTGGTTTCCACTGTGGCAAAAGAAAGTGGCTGCACGAGAAATGAGTTTGTTCCACTGTAGCTAAAGAGAAATCACCACATTCTGCAGGTGGAGGAGGAGAGGAAGACATTTAACCTGCCAGCATTTGGGGTTCATTTACTTCAGATGTGATAGATAAGGGATGCTCGAAGTAGACCCGTGGGAACTGTGGAAGATTAATGCTGGTTACAGTCACGTCTAACACTCACCGACTCTGCTGTGTTTCTGTTTGTTCTGCATCTGTCATCTGTCTTCTGCACGGTACCCAGAGCTCTCCAACCATGTAAATATACAGCTTGTGTGTTTGGTATGCTTCAGATTTACACCCTCGATGTTAAATGCAAACTTTAAAATGCGAGAAGAAGAAGATCAGAGCCGTCGGCTTTCAGGCTTCTCTCATTTCCACAAGTTTAAAATATTGTTTTGCTGCAGTCTGTCTTCTGAAAGGGAGCGTTTCTATTTTTCTAATGTTAATCGTTTCATGCTTTACTTCATCAAACCAAAGATAAATTAACGTGCCTGAATGATCGAAATATGTTTTCCAGCCTGTATCTGTGTAGAGAAGAGGATTTTGGAGGAATATATGATGAAATATCACACACACACACACACACACATATGATTCAGAGAAAGCTACTGGGTAATATTTTATGTAATGTGTGTACACTTTAATATAAAACCTACTGAGTCTGTAATTAAATACACTGAATGAAAATGTCTTTAACAATGTCTGTGCATGTTGTCACGTGTAAGATTAATTCAAGCACTGATATAAATTATGCAGCGCGTTCATTTTTTCTGTATCCATATTTCAATATTGTGCATTTTGTTAAAATCTGCATATTTTAGTGTAGCAAAACTTGTTTGTAAGACAAGTGGGCTCCTGGTAAACTATCATCCCTGCCCGACTGCACCCGCGTGATACGAGGTGAGCGCAGGCTCTGAGTGCATCACAGGGTTTATCCATAAAGCGGCTGGTATTACATTATCACCGTGATTTCTCTCAGAATGGCTTTTCAGGCCTAACTCGAGTCCTCTGACACGTTTCCTCAGCATCCCGGCTTTGTTCACAATCCCTCCTTCAAAGTCCTCTCGCTCCGTGGTGGGAGGGTGGTGAGGGGAGGATATCGCAATTTGTCTTTTCTTCTTGACGTCCCTCAGAGCACGTGACACAAAAATCTGAGAAGGAGAAGCTAATACCCACTGAAAACCTCCTCCTTCTCCTTCTTTTCCACCACAGCGGTTCATTTAATAACCATGCAGTGAAGGAGAGGAGCGGAGAGAGAGACGGTTTTCCATTATTGCTTCCCGCTGAAGACAGAGACGAGAGGAAGAAGCAGCAGCTCGTTAAGTGTCACAGAGGACGGGCTGGCACCGAGTCACAGGATCCTGTAGCTTATATCGGCCTCAGCGTGCAAGCCAAGCGCTGAGAGCAGACGTGAGTGCGCTTCTACAGGCACGAGAACGGTTACATAACGCGCTCTCTGCATCGTGAATGAAAGGGAGATTTCTCAATTAAACCGTCTGCTTTCAGCTGCAGACAGAATCAGTTTCAGAATCTCATCGCGTGCTGGCATATTTCTGAGTGCAGACTCTTTTAATTAGTGCTCGTTAAAATGCATATGAGCAATTTCAATTAACGGAACTATCTGTTCTTATGCAGATTTTATGTAAACACTGTTCAGAAACCTAAACCTGAACGACCTTTTTTAACTTTGGTTATACAGGATGTTAAAAAAATGGTCGTTGATGTTTCTAAGCGGTGTCGGCGGTGGTGTAAGGCTTCCATCCTCACACACATGCTGATGTTGATGGTCACGCTGGTGTTAATGGTCTGTCCAGCTGTGGCTGAAATACAATGTGAGTCTCAGCTCTTTGGACGTCTGTGTTCAGTTGTGTAAAGACAGCACCACACACACGTTTTTATTAGTTTTAAATTTTTTTCATTTCACACAATTGTTTCAGTTAGTTTGAAGTCGAATTTTTATTTTAGGTAATTAAAATGTTTTTCACATCTGGTTTTAGTTTTTACTACAATTA